GACAGAGACAGCATGTGGTTAGACACAGAGTAAACCTCCCTCTGCACTGTCCCCCTCATCAAACACTCCCAGGGCAGGGACAGCACAGGGTTAGGCACAGAGTAAAGCTCCCTCTGCACTGTCCCCTCCGATCAAATACTCCCAGGGCAGGGACAGCATGGGGTTAGATACACAGTAAAGCTCCCTCTACACTGTCCCCCATCAAACAGCAGGGGGAGCCAGCGGGACTGATAACCTCTGAGGGGGTCAATGTGAAAGTGGGAGGGAGGAGGATGCAGTTACTGAAGAACATACAAACAAGGAACTAGACAAGGCCACTCGGCCCTTCAAGCCTGATCTGTTTGCCGTTTGGTCACATCGAGGCTGTTCGCAATTTAACTGTGACTCTACGCTCCACAGAGACACAGCAAGAATGGCAAATAAAGAAGGAGTGAGACAGGGTGAAGAACAGGGACATCACAGCCCCCAGATCTGGAAGTAGGGGGGCCGGCGGGGGGGTTGGTGAGAGAAATTGAGAGCACACCAGGGCGAGGGGCACAGACCCAGGACACAGGACCGGTCAGTTTGTATTTGAAATCTCTTCATAGCAGTGGTTGGAGTTGGGAAGAGATGGAGATCCGGTCCTGTAGGGGCATTGAGGGACCCAAACAGGAAAGTGGGGCTGTAGGCCAAGGTGAGCCACGGTTGTACAGAAGGATCAGCAGACCTGATGGGCTGAATGGTCTGTGGTGACACTTCTCTGTTGTTTGCAGGTCGCTTTCATCAATCCCAACTCTTACGTCAACATCATCATAGGAGTGTCCACCTTTCTCTCTTTCTACGGCTACCTCTTGTACTACAAGGCCACTAAGGACTCCCTTCAGGGTTATGATATCCAGGGCAAGTTCATCTGCATCATCGTTGTCCTCGTCCTCTTCGGTCTTCAGAGCGGAATTCTGGAGACCATGGGGGCACTCAGTGTGATCCCCTGCTTCCCACCCTTCTCGGTAGACATGCGTTCTCAGAGTAAGTCAGCCGCCTCAACTGATGTTGATGGGAGATGCGGCCGATAATGTGGGTACGGGGCTGGAGGGGCAGGGGTCAATGCATTGACATCGCTGCCCCCAGGACACGGGGTATTGCCACATTTAGAAAGACCAACTGGCGTTTACCGAGTTGGCACCAGGCAACAGCAATTAAGCGTTCGTGGTTTCTAGGCTGTGTTGTGTGGTGTTGGGCTGTGTTGTGTTGTGCTGGGGCAAGTGAGTTGTGTTGGGCCTGGGTTATGTTGGGTTGGGGTGGGTGAGTTGGGCTAAGTTGGGAATGGGTTATGTTGGGTTGAGTTGGGATGGATTATGAGACAACAAGGTGCAGGGCTGGATGAACACAGCAGGCCAAGCAGCATCATAGGAGCAGAGAGGCTGACGTTTCGGGCCTAGACCCTTCATCAGAAAAGGGGGAGGGGAAGGGGGTTCTGAAATAAATAGGGAGAGAGTGGGAGGTGGATAGAAGATGGATAGAGGAGAGGATAGGTGGAGAGGAAACAAACAGGTCGAAGAGGCGGGGATGGGGCCAGTAAAGGTGAGTGTAGGTGGGGAGTTAGGGAGGGGATTGGTCAGTCCAGGGAGGACGGACAGGTCAAGGGGGTGGGATGAGGTTAGTCGGTAGGAGATGGAGGTG